ATAAATTCTAGGCAGTGGTGTATAGCAAGGGAAATGGTGTATAAATTCTAGGCCGTGGTGTATAGCAAGGGGAATGGTGTATAAATTCTAGGCAGTGGTGTATAGCAAGGGGAATGGTGAATAGATACTAAGGAATTGTGTATAGTGATAAGAATGCTGCATAAATTTTAAACTACGTGTAGTGTTTTACTAACTGATTTTTGTGTTCACTAATCAGTGGATATGGGCAAAGCCTTGAATGAAACAGAACAGTTACTTGGTGAGATTCACATGTTGACACGGGAACACCAACCACAAGTGAAGGAATGTGCAAAGTCAATAGGTGCCCTGAAAGATGCAACACTTAATGAAGGGGTGGAATTGTACAGGTGAGTACCCAACAATGGCTGCTTGAATGATCGTAGTTTCAATTTTTTGTATTCCAGACAGAACCCTGAATTATTTTGAGGAAGTTTTAATAATTTAAAAATAATTCATCATCTAACAACTTGTCATAAAATGACTGTGCTTTTGGTTGAAAAAATTTCATTAATCTGTAAAACATTTTGCTATAAACTGTCACATTCATTGTGTATTCTACACTTCTATTAATGTTGTGCTGTTCTCTGATTGGCTACTACTTACATTGCTTGCTATACGTAATTCAAAACATAAATATTGCCTACCGCCGGGGAATACAGTTGTACAATATAACAGTACTTTATCATTACCAAAAGACTTTACACATCACACATATTGTTTGAATTTAATACTAGTTTGCCTGTAAATCTATAACTACCATGTCCCCTCAGGAGATTTCTAAAAACTGGCTTCCATCAATATGTAAACATTGATCTTGTAATCTTGTGTGAGTCCTCTCTGTGCATGTGCACAGTTTTGATGACTAGAGCTGCTTTAATATAATGTGTATGTTACAATATAATATTTCATTTAGCTACATGGTTCTGAGTTGTTGCTTTTTGTAATCCTATCTTCCCAGGGAGGAAGGGAGGGAGCAGATTCTGTCTTGAATGACTAACAAACAGCTGCCTATATAACTGACATTCAAGAGATATTACTCTTGCTGTTGCCAGCCTGTGTGGTTTTTTTATCATTGCTACCATTGCTGTGAATGTGTTAATACAGAAAGAGAGAGGTCAATGGCTATATGTTTTTATCTTGCAGGTTAAATGAAGTGATGGCTGCTGTGTCAACGTTGACAACCCATGAAACATCACTGAAAATACAACACATGGATCTCAAAGACCCTCGTGCTGCTGAGCTGAATCAACTTGATATAACTAAATCAGTTCTGGAACAGTAAAAATGTCTTGTTGATGTTTAATCAATAATTTTTCCCCGAAATCACAAAGTTGGACACAGTTGTACCTGAGTGTGTATTTACACGGCTTGAACCTGTGTAGTATAGGAAGTTTTATCTTTTGCTATCCTGCAAGATCCAAGATCACTTCATTTATGTGCCAGCATTTGTGTATTTTTAATATTATCAATTGGTGCCATGTTAAAGCGGCGTTCCCACTTTGCAAATTTGTGAGGTGCCCATCCCCTGACAACTTAACATTGTTTTGTATACACCATCAAATGATCAGACTATGGGGAAATATAGAAATCAACAACAGAGTATGTATTCAATTGTAAGCAATACACACTCATTGAGTTGAAAGTTGATTACATTGTATGTATGTTTTGTCTAAAGGATAAGACTCTCCAGCACTCTCAAAAAAAAAAAAAACAGAAAGCGAGGTCAGGATAATCTTCTGTACTTTTTAAATATGGCATCATTTTAATACATATCATGTTTTTAGCTTGTTTTAGGAGTGATGTTTCGTGTGTAAACATTTATTCATTGAGTGTTGTGATTTACTGCGACATCTCATGCAACTAATGTGTTTCTGTGATTTTGTGAAACATCAAGAAAGATGATCCATGTCCATGTACTGTCTGAATCCATACTTTGTGGCATCCTTTTAAATTCCTTAATATTATAGATTTCTCTGATCCAATTGATTGGTGTATGATGCCCACAACTGAGCAAAATGGAGTAATATGGCCATCATCTCCGAAATGAGGCATAAATCATAATTATATTCAGAATTTGCCTTACTAATAAGGTAGGAAACAGATGCAATGCCACAAAGTTAGGATACACTGTTACTTATGGAGATATATAATATTAGTAAATACATTACACACGTACAGTTGCTTGTTGGCAATGACTTAAAAATTCTAGTATAACATTACGACCAGGTTGTATATATTACTGTAAAAGCATTAAATTTCACTGGTATTTAATTTCATTATTTTGATATGTGATATTTTAATATTCTGTGCATATTCATTAAGTTTTTTTAATTAACAGATTTGGCTGTAAGATAATGAGTTCTATTGTAATATTGCATGTTAACATGGATTTAATATTATAATAGCAGATTTCACTGGTCGTCAAAAATAGCGATATTAAAACCCAGTGAACCCTTAACAGTGCATTTATTTTGACATGGGTATATATTGTAATACATGTACATAGATCACTATTTTTTACTTTTATTATTATGTTCAAATTTATATTATTAACTCAATTTACCGTTACAAAAAATTCAATTGTTTCCAATTTTGTCAGGCACCTTCTTTCAGATAGGAAATACCTAAATTTAGTTTCATACCAGTAATCCTGTTCACAGTGACAAATGATGGCCTAGTGTAAGGACTTGATTTATAATTAAACCGCATCTTAAATTGGTAAATAAAATGAAGTTTGGTAAAAGATTTGTTGGCACATTTTTTAAAATATACATTGTACATGTGTATGTATTGTTGACTATGCAAGATCTCATCACAGATAATGTATATATTTGAGAAGAATATTTATATATATAATTTCCATTATCTGCAAATTTGAAAAAGTGATAAAAAATTCCAATCACACATGAAAGTGTTTTGTGTTTATAATTTTAAACTTAACTTACATATATATCATGTCACACATGTATTTATTTGATGATTTTGATTTGACATGGACAGCTATGGTTTAAATTTGATACATACTTTGTTTTGCAGATCCAATTCAAGATGTTCTTTTTCAGATCAGATTCAAAGTAGCAGAATGCAAATGCTGTTCTAATGCTGATCGCAATCAAATTTCACAACTACATTATGTCATTTGTTTCATGTTCTAATTCTAAATACTGACTCATTTCATATTTTGTTTACTATTGAATCAACAGGTACTATGTCATGACATGACTGTGTGATTCGTTTTTAAATAAAATTATTTAAGCCTTTTCCCTTATTTCTCGAGAACCACCAGAAAGATTACAATTTCATAAATGCTCTGGGCTAATTCACAAGCCTGTTTAGTTTTGGGTTGCAATCAGTGCATAATGAATATCTAATTTGAACAAATTAGCCTATTTTTAATTGCTATATCAAAAAACACGCTTCAGAATTCAACTTGATACATGGGGTAATCCATGATTCGTTTAGGATAGAAACTGTGCATATTAATTACCTAGTTTGCACAAATTATTGCTATCTCAAAAAACACGCTTTAGAATTCTAATTGATACATACAGTACATTCCGGGGGAATTCTTGATTATTTTAGGATAGAAACTGTGCATATTAATAACCTAATTTCCATAAATTGGTCAATGATATTGCAAGTACCACTAGTCTGATTTTAATGGAACTTTTTACAAAGCTGCTCTTTGGTAAACCACACACGATATATGGAAATTTATAAAACACCCTACCCGAGAAGACCCTCTCATTTCATTCAAACATGCTTTCAGTGACTGTAGAAACCATTCGGTAATGTCCATCACCAACGAGTCATTGGGGGTTTGCTTCAATCATTGGCGATTTACTGCCATGGATCCATTTCAGTGTTGTGATTGGTAAAGTTGTTAATGTTATTTTGAAATGAGATACCATTACCCTAAATTTCCCCAAAATACTTTCGCAGGTTTGTACTGTTTTTACGCATAATGAAAAATGGTTCATTTATTAAACATTTATGAAAATTTTAAATAAAGAATATCCATGCCTTCGTCAAATCCACTGTATAAGCTTGAATGAGATTTGTTGTCCTGAATTTTTTGTGTAAGTTTCATTTTACGCTACACAAAAGTAAAAATATTGTCATTTTATTTATTTTTACACTTGTTTTATATTATGGATGGATTATGGATACAAGGATGAAAGCAAATGTATTAAACAAATGGGGACACTGTATTCTGTTCGGAGAAATTCGATGTACAAATCAAAGATAAAATAGCTTGTCTGTTTTAAGGCATTTACCAATGTTTTCTATGGTATCTCAAAATTTAGCTCAGTAACATACCGTGAGAAAAAGATATATAGTGTCTTACAAGGTACTTTTTGATGTCTACCGGTAGCAGTAGATGAGAATATGTGTTTTCATTATGGTCTATCGCTGCTAAAATGGCATTTTATGCATATTATTTTCCATTTTTCTCAACAAAAACAGGTTGACAGTGAACTAAAAAATGTGCATACTATCTGTAAAATGACTAATTTACACTGGGTTTAAATTTTGCTGATTTACCACTTCAGTCATATTCAGTGGGGTTTAAATTCACGGTTTTATCATTTAGATAATGTGTTCTAGACGGATTTTGACACGAACTATTGTCGCTGATATATACACTTACACGTAAATATGCGCATCATCATGATCATGACCCGGGTCTCGTTATAACGACGCTTGAGGGCGCGACCACACTTTGACCCGAACAGTTCCGAGAAAAGTGAGACTTATGCGGGGACGTGTGGGAGACCGGTCAGCCTGATGCATCGTGCAGTCCAAGCAGACTCGTAACAGAAACGACATGCAAAGTTCTTCGTCAGTGACTGTACACATGGACTTGGTTCATTTCAAATGTTTTCACGGACTTTGACTGTGATATTGTAATAATAATAATAGTGATGTCCGTACAAGCGTCGCTGAACGACTCGGTTAGCAAAGTGTACGTCGACGACACTCCCGATCACAACCATGGGGTATATTCTTGGTCAACGTCAGAAGCACGAACGATTGATATATCAAGTTCGTTTACAGAGAGTACGCGGGAAAATAACGCCGCTGGTAAGAACTCGGTTATTGGGGCTTCTATCATCATGATAAAAGCTTGCTGCGGGGCTGGCATGCTAGCATTTCCGGCAACGTTCGGCGCAGCTGGTGGAATTGTTGTAACGATTATAATGCAAGTGGTAAGTTTTGTAGTTTCATTTTAGAAGTCAACTTCACTTGAACCCGCTGTCCAATCGAATTGTATAGATTCAGAGCGGCGGCATGAAAATTTGCATGCGGGGGGCGAGATCTTCTTACCTTACTTGGGGGTGCGGGGGCATGCTCCCCCTTCAAAATTAAAAAATCTAGACCATCTTAAAACGCTATTTCCCGCACAAAGGGTTTCAGCTTGATTTTAGAGGGGCGACCCCCCCCCCCATTTTTTTTTCGAGGGCGCTACCCTCGACGCTCAATCGACTTGCAAGATTGTACCTGATTAGCTACCCTACTGTAGCGCCTATAGTCTGACATTATATATGCTTTTACTCAACTATAGATTTATGTGGCAGGAGAAAACTTATTTATGAAGAAAATTAAGTTAAATTAGACTGGTCTTCAGGAATAAAGAAGACCAGTCTTGAGTTCTAACCAGCTGTATTGATTGGCTGTCAAAATCATGAATGACATCTCTGACATCAACAAGTTTAAAATTATAGCCAATTTCATATTTTGTTTCACTGGCATCAAGTTTGACATTTTTAGTATGGATTAGTAGCATGTGTTATTCTACAGCTATCATGCTATTAGCCTGAAAGTTGCAACTGCCAATCCAAAACGATCCAACTTAATGAAAAAATGTAAATGGATTTGGATATATTTTGGTAAAATTATAAAAGAACAATAGAAAAAAAAAATGGGAAAAAGTTGTCAGTTCAAAATCAAAGGTGCCAGTCTGTTTGGTGGGTAGACTGGTGGCTGGCTAACACCCTGATGGCTATACTGTTGGTATTTTAGCTACAAAAAAGTGTTGGGGACAGATTTGGAGAGGTTGGCATCATGACACTGATCAGAAATTAGACCAATAATATCCGGGAAGAGTTCATCCTTAACACCGTCTCTAACCCTTACCCCAGCCCCCAAAATCTGTACATATATTAATTACCTAATTTGTATATAATGATTGGTCAATTTTCATATATTTTTATTGATATCTTAAGTACTAATTATCCCATTACAATGAAACTTGGTACATAGATGTCATAGAACAATGCACAGACCTGATAAGTTTTGGGTTAATATCTGTGCATACGATATTAATTACATAATTTGCACGATTAGTAAATTATTGGCTTTTCTGCTGATATTTCAAGTACTTATCTTTACATTTCATTGAAACTTGGTACATCAGTGCTCAAGGACTATGCACAGACCTAACTAATTTTGTGTAATAATTCATGCATATTAATCACCTAAAAGTGTATATTCACTGGTTTTATTTTCACTGAATTATTTTTTCAGCGAAAATTCATTCCAAGCGAAAATAAACTATTATACAGTAGACATCGATGTGCTGTAATACATTTTTGATAATGCGATGAGCAAGTTTGTTTCAACTTTAGGCTACTGTCCCTGCGTGTATTTGCGAAACAACAAAAATAATTGCCTGTTAACACAAACTATATTGTCCATAACTCAAAGTTCAGTTCCTTGGTGACTATTAATTGAATACCAACTTTGACTCAACGTTCATAACTCACTGTTTGTAAATCAAACAATTCAGCATCTCTTTATGTTCTAGAATTAATGTACATTGAAACAAAATAAACAAAATAAACAAACAAAATTTAAAGGGAACGATATTATAAATAGGGGCAAGATGGCCACCGCAATTAGTATGCTAATCCGAACCAAGCCGCTCACATTGTGACGGGAGCTCCGTGAAATGTGCCATTTACTATGTTTAGAGATCAAGCTGTGTTTCCAAATACATTTCTACGGGGGCATGAATATGTACGCTAGCGATTACACTCGTCTGGTTGTGCTTTTGACGTATAAATGTTTTTTTCGGTCGAAACGTGCAGTGAAAAGTAAAAATCCTGAGTTTAAAATGGCGGCTATTGTATGCAAAATGCCTGTCAATCACAGTTTGAGTAAGCGAGCATAATTAGCATTCATTCACTTAGTGGACAGGGGCGGAGTTAATTACCCATGAGCACGTGGTGCAATCCATGGGATTGAGAGGTTCCCCTTTAAACAAAAGAACTTGTACATGAAAGTAATTTAATACCCAGTACTCTTCTTTGGGAAAGTTGTTTTTAGTTAGGCCTAAAACAAATTAAAGAGAAGTGGGTGTTGCACCTTATGGACAATATGGCACTCGCAGCGTACACACGTTTATAATATAATGTTTGTTTACATAAATTCGAACACACACTGCATGGTATCCACTACCATTGATCATTTTAACAATTCGCCCAACATTTTCAAGGTTCAACTATTTACAGTAAAGCTACTTTTTATTTATTTCCAGGTATTTTCAATTTTTAGTTGCATTGGTCTGATAGTGTTAGCTTACTGTTCCTCTATACATAACACAAGTACGTTTGAATTGGCCATTGCATCACTGTGCGGTCATAAAACCAAGATGGCGGCTCTTGTTCTTGTGATGGTTTATGGTCTTGGAGGATGTATAACATTCCTGGTCATTCTCGGAGACCAGCTTGATGAAGGTAAGGATTGTGCAGTATAATACTCTCATTTGTTAGTCCCCGTTCGGACGGAGTCCGAAAACGGGGACTTATGTTTTGCCCTGTGTGCGTCCGTCCGTGATCACCTGTATCTCGAACATGCATGGACTGATTATGTTCAAACTTCACTCATACATCACACATTATATGGGACATATGCACATGCATTTTTTTCATGATCCGATTAACGATAGCCGAATAGCGGCCATTTTAAGGCCGAAAATGCATCAAAATCGCACATTTTCACCATTCCGGACCCGGATCTCAGTTATGCATGGACGGATTTCGTTCAAATTTGGTACATACATT